GCTCTCCTGTGGCACTGCAGCTGGTTCTGGCACGGCCAGTATTGCCGTCCTTATCCATTCCATTTCTGTCCAAGTGTTTATCACATTAGGACAAGCAACTGCTCCTGCATCTCATCTGTCTGTCTGGACTCATTCTAATGGAAAAGATACCAGAATCCTGCATACTCCAGAATGGCCTGAATGCTGCTCCTTTGGCTCCTGTGAACTCAGGAGAAGTACTGTAGAAACCAGAGCGAATTTCTGGCCCTTGACTGATCAGAAATTTGCAATTGTAGTTTCTATTAGTTGGTGTTTAGTAGTTCTTTTAATGTAACATGAGTATGTAGTCTGCTTGCATGTATCTTTAACTTTGTGTTGTCACTCCAAGGCCTCAGCATCTGTCTGGATTGGAGATGGTTCGAGATCTGTGTGATGGGAAGCTGAACGGTGGAGAAATTGGCTCAACAGAAATAACCTTCACTCCTGGGAAGATCAAAGGTGGAACCCATATAGCAGATACAAAAACAGCAGGGTATGTCTTTGTACACTGCTTCTGGTAACTTTAAAATTATAACAGAAGACTGGAGGTGGGGGAAGAACATCTGTACGTGGGTAATGATCTAGAGTATGTGCTGCCCTAGTCAGATTTATGTTACAAAAGAACCTGTAGTATAGGAAGGATATGCATTAATAAAATACATGCAAGTATAATAGTTTTAAAATTGATATAAAACTTGAACACTTGATTCATGTTAAGCAAAAACCAGCTGCTCATGTTTAAAAGCTCAGCTGTTATTTTCTCACAGTACTATGTTACATATCAGATCAGATGCATTAAATTAGATAAGTATCTCAAATCTGTGAAGTCTGAAATAACCATTACATAGTAAAGTAAATTTTGAGAGTTTACTTACACACATAGTGGCACAGTATGGAATAGTAGTCATTTGGATCTGGGAACATATTCTGTCAACAGTTCTTGTATCTGCGTTTCTTCTGTATTTCGGTGTTGGGTCCTTTGTTCGAATCTGTTGCAAAACTGAGTAAATGGGTTTAGCTATGGAAAGCTGGTGTGAACAGCTGTTTGGAAGCATAAGCCAGAGCAGGCATAAGTTAAAGTTTCTTTTAAGATAAATATTTTTCTGAGCTGAAATAGTATAAACAACCAAGCTGATGCCTTTAACATAGAAAAGTTTGAGTAAGCCACAATGCAGCAAAATTGGTAATTAAGCACAAGAAAAAGAGAAACACTGTGGTTCACAAATATTTGGGAGTTATTTAAGAAAACAAACCTATGTTTTCTCAGTTCTGTGGTGATTATTGTTTTTACAATTCAAAATTATGTCTTAAACCCCTGTGAGAGAACTGTTTTGTTTTGCCAAACAAACTTCCACTTCTGGAAAACTTACTTTGGAAGCATTTTTATCTCCATGAAATGTGGAGAGATTTAGGGATAGGGGGATCTTGTATCTAATACCTTAATATTTTCTATGCTCCTGAATTCTCTTGTGTGGGATGCTGAGCAGCTTCTAAGCAATTTTGTAGTTTTCTTAGTGTTTTGTTATTAAATAAGTATTGAAATGTTATTGCTTCCTAAGCCTCCTCTGCTTTTATCATCTGCTAGCTAAACCCACAGTTCTCACAGTCCCATCAGTTTACTAGATAAGATACATTACTTTTATTTCAAACAGAACTATTAAAGATGCAATTATTGTGAAATAAAAGCTTCATATTTAAGCTTGCTAGGGACATGAGTTTTAAATTAGTATTTTTTAAGACAAGTTTATAGATAATTTTAAAGATAAAATACATATGCAAATGCTCCGGAAAGCCTGTGATATGTAATGATTCTGTGGAATTCTATGGATTATGACTGTATGACATCGGAGTAACTTATAATTTCTTTTAGGAGCGTGTGTCTACTGATGCAGGTAGCAATGCCCTGTGTGCTGTTTGCTGCTTCCCCATCAGAGCTTCATTTAAAAGGTGGGACTAATGCTGAGATGGCTCCTCAGATAGACTACACAGTCATGGTAGGGAAAAACTCCTTTGGCTTGGTGCATCTTTCATGAATATGTGTGCAATGTAACTGCTGTACTTCTGGTGCTCTTACTGCCTGTTTATTTGTGATTATGGAATTAGGCATGGGAATATAACACTATTAGTGTACTGTATGTAGAGAGCAATCAGCGTTTCCTGGAATTCCTGAAACAGCAAATAGTCTGGTTTTAATTACTAAAGAAAATTTCACTTAAAATATATTCTTTATTCTAAAAGGGCTGTGATTTGTTCTTTCTTTCTCCTTAAGATAATCCTTTTACACAAAGTGAAGTATGAGGAATGTCAGATAAGCTGCATGGATGAGACTGGCTATCTTTTTTTCTTTTGAATAATGTAATTGAAATTTTTGCCTTGCCTTTTTCTTTTTTTTTTTTGGAAGACTGCATAAAACAGTGGGAAATTATCAATGCAAAATAAATTCCCTCTGTGTTTTTCAGGTTTTTAAGCCAATAGTTGAAAAGTTCAACTTCACATTTAACTGTGACATAAAAAAGAGGTGAGTTGTGGAGTCACGTGGCAGAGGCAGGCCTCACTGAGCCTGTTGTGTGAGCACAGAGGCACACACACAAGGTGCTCTCAATCAAACTGAGGGATGAGTTTATAATACATGAGCTAATCTGCATTAGCTGTCCCTGTGTGTGCTGTCACCTCGTGATGAATGTGAGATGGTTCTTTCCCGTCTGTTTTTCACTGCTGATGCTACAGCTGCTGTGTAGTGTCTCCTGTTGGCTACCCCGAGGGCAGTGCTTGCTGAACAGGCAGCACACGACTGAGCTCCTGAGGTGCCAGTTAGGTTGGTGTGAGGTGGTTAATAAGATGTGCATTACAAAGTAATGCTGTAAGAGAACATAATTCCATTATAGAGGTTTCTAAGCCACACATCAAGAAATTCGTATGTACAGTAATAGAGAACATACAAATATATAATGGAATACATGAAGAGCCTTCTGGCCTTTTTCTTTCGTTCTTTCTGATCTTTGTGTTTAATTATGTCTGATTACTGTTTCTAAACAGGGGCTACTATCCTCAGGGAGGTGGTGAAGTTGTGGTCCGGATGTCTCCGGTCAAAGAGTTGAGCCCAATAAACTTAACAGAGCGTGGCACAGTGACAAAGATATATGGAAGAGCATTTGTTGCTGGAGCACTGCCTATCAAAGTGAGTGCTGATAATAGTTCTGCTAGTGTCCACCTTCATATATCTGTATAAAATTGCATGTAATCTGCTTAACATTCATCTACTGTTCCAGTATTCTGCAGTCTTTCCCATACAAACTCAGTAGCCTTATTAAATGGTTTCAATTATTCAGGCTGTAGAACAGGATACTGGATGTTTCTAAAATGCATTTCTTGCATAGCAATGTGTAGCTAAAACAGGAAATGAAAACACTATCCTCACTATCCTTCATTTGACTATTCAGAAGTCTTTAGCATGTATTGAGGGGTATCTTATATCTGATTTATGTATCATTCATATTTATGTGGATTATTTTAAATTTGAAGTCATGGCTCTTGTGAGCTATGGTGCACTGTAATAGCAGAGGTCAGAAAGCATCAAAATTTTCAACCATTGCTAAGAGTATTAAAACAAGTTAAGGGTAGGTTTAGCCAAAAATAAAGTGGAGAGAAATTTGCTCCTTTATACCCCCTTCTTATTTCAAGTGGTGGGATCTTCTCCCACATAGGCTAGGAAATATTAGAGGAAGGAAGTGGAAGAACTGAGTTACTTTCTGAAAAGCTACAAATTGCTGCTTTTGGTCTTAAAATCCCCACACATATGACTATTAGCTATGATTAGATCACAATGATGGGATAAGCTTCATCTGTCCCCACTTGCCTGGGATTTGTTATTTTTTAGTATTATATCTTACAGAATATATCCTGTACATAATAACTGGGGGGGTTTTGCACTTAGTTTTTGGAGGATTTGTGGGGGGTTTTTCAGAATCTAGCATTTTGATATACTCAAGACTGAAATGTTTGTCCCTAAGAATGAAGAAAAGTTCTTGAATTTGTACTGATATTGAAGTTTCTATATCTATCTCTATAATTGTCACTAATTAGACTTACAAGGGAAAAGTATTTTTGTTGTTACATAATTACTGTTTTTATGTCTTGTTAGCTGGCAAAAGACATGTCATCAGCAGCAGTGAGATGCATCAGAAAAGAAATCAGAGATCTTTATATAAACATTCAGCCTGTTCGAGAACCTGATGATCAAGCTGTTGGGACTGGAAGTGGAATAATGTAAGAGGAGTCCAAACTTTCTCTTGATACCTGTAAACTTGCTGGTTGATTAACTAGATCTTGATGACATGGCTGATAAATAAGGTGTAGTGGGAGTGATTCTATTCCTAATTCTGATTCTGTTTTTTGTGCTTAGTATTGTTGCAGAGACTTCAACAGGTTGTTTGTTAGCTGGGTCATCACTTGGCAAGAGAGGTAAGAATTCCATGAAGCCTTTGAGATTTAAGTGAATATACGAATAGCAAATAAGAATATGAAGTATCACCTATTTAAAGAGCTGATGCTTTGAGTGATGCATTTTTGAATGGATGTTGTTTAGTAATAAAGGACAGCGGAAATGAGCAGATTTAAAACAGTAAATGGAAATTCACAAAAATGACAAAACTACAACCTTACCTTTTTGTCAGAATGGAGTGTTAAGGATCACTGAGCTGAAAATGTTTCTAGACTTTAGGAACATGGGCTTTGTGGTTTACCTGTAAAGGTTTTGTTCAACAGTGAATCTAGATTAAAATGAATAGAAGTGATTTGGGGTTTTAATTATTTAAATCCAATGTTTTTCTGACAAAGCGGAACCACTTGCATTCCACTGCTTAGGAAGGATGAAATATAGATCATCATAAGATGGGAAGGGTTTTTAAAGCAGACATTTGAGGCAAGAGCAGGAAAATAAGGTTTAAAAAGTTGAAAGTTGGTTTGGTTTTTTTTCTGTATTTTTAAAATGATAAACAGTAATTGCCAGCTTCCTAATATCCTGTATTTCTCTGTTAGGAAAGAATTCTGACAAGGTTGGCATTGAAGCAGCTGAGATGCTGCTTAAGAGTCTTAAACATGGTGGAACTGTGGATGATTCTCTGCAAGACCAAGTAAGGCTCCTGTATGTGTTTACGTGAAGCTGAAGTAGTAAGAACATGCCTGTATGTATTACTTGTAAAGAATATAAATCTGAACAGGGAAAGAATGAGATGTTAATTGGAAGCCTTAGAGATGTGTGATCACAACATCACTAGATTTAGCAAATTCCATACAGTTCTTAGGAACCACAAATGCTCCTGGCTTTGCACCATCACGCTCAATTTTTCCCTTCCTGTAACTGTTGGTAAGTATAGAAGAAAGAGGCAGGAATTTGCTTTGATTTGGCATTCCAAGTAGTGGTGTGAAAATAGCTCCCTGGTAACATATAATGATACTAAGGAAAGTTATTAGAGAACAGAATATTTAGGAGGTGCTTCTTCCTTACCTAATTTCATTTGAGCATGAAGGCCCTCCAGCGTCTTGCAAGAACCTGGGGCTGTTTTAGATAGGATGATGTTACCTCTTAGCTGTGAACACCTGGGCACACATTACTGCTATGTTGTGAAGTAGGAGCTACTGAGGTCTTGGACTCATCCTACTTTTTCCAAAGCATGCACAGTACCTTTGGTGGCAACAAGCCACAGCCAGATTCGGTGTATATGGAATGCCCAGAGTTATATCAAACATTACAGAGTACTTGTCATGGTGATGTTTGTAAATCAAATCAAATGTCTTTAAATCGCATATTGTCTGGTGAATATGCGATCAGGAAGTGTCAAAGAACCTCTTCCTGAGGTTTTCTCTCCACATAGGTATTCTACTAACCTGGAATCTAACCTGACTTGGGGGAGTTTGGGGGAAGACAGTGGGGGAGAGTAAAGTTAAATGTAGTTACAGGATACAAGGGCATCCACTGTGGAAAAGTAGTAGCCCTTCAGTAATAGGCATTACAGTAGTAATTTCCATAATTCTTGAGCTTTGGATCACTTAAAAATCAGAATCATGAACTTTTACGAAACATGGCAGACCACATTTTTACATCTACATTTTTACATCTACAGATATTTTGCAAGTATTGTTGTTTTTTTTTTTTTTTTAAGAGTAGGTTCCTAGAATCTGAAGAATTACTTAATAATTCCCTTTCCTTCCCTTTCAGCTGATCATTTTTATGGCACTAGCAAAGGGAGTGTCTAGAGTGAAAAGTGGACCAATTACACTCCATACTCAAACAGCTATACACTTTGCAGAGCAGCTAACAAAGGTGAGTCCAAAAGCTCAGGAAGTTTTACCTGTGAGTTGTCATCCAGTAACTAACTGGGCAATGTACAGTTCAGCAGGTATTGTGAGCTGAACTCAACAGGAGGATAAGCATGGATAAAATTGTTGCTACAGTGTTTTCTTGTAGAAAATGAACATACTTTAAAGTTAAATGCTTTTAGAATGGTTAGATACTTTTACCACCTTTATTTAAAATTTTTTTTTAATTTATCCAGTCAAAGCTCTAATATATATAAACACCATGACAATACAATGATTTGGTGTCAGATATTGAATATTTAAACTTATGTGTGTGATAATTAATTTGTGATATATTTCTGCTCTTCTTTTAGGCCAAATTTACTGTGACAAAATCAGAAGACGAAGATCCCAGTAATGATACCTACATCATTGAGTGCCAAGGAGTGGGGATGATAAACCCAAACTTATAGGGTTAAACAAAAAAGGCAGCAAGCTGACAAAGGCAACACTCAACATACCTCAGTGATGTATCTGCATCACTACATCTCAATGGATGTTCACCTGTGTGAACAGGAGAAACCTTCTGTCACATCAGAGTGATTTAACTTCAAGGATGGTGTCAAGCTTTTCCTTGGTGTGGTGAGAATCTGTCATGAGAAACAAGAAACCTCTACCTTTTTTTTTTTTTTTTTACTATTAGCAGCAAAATGAGTGGCAACAGGACAGGAAATAGAATATATTGTACATATGTGAGAGCTTCAGTTAGAAGCTTTGAAAATCCAGCTTCACCAAAGTAGAAAATAACTATTTTAGTTTTGGAAAACTACTATCAGTATTTCTTTCCCTTCTGAAAAATGTAAGTTTCATTCTCTGGAAACCTTTATGTTATGAGGTATATGGAATGAAGTGCACTATCAAATCTGTATTGCTGTTCTTCCTTAGCCATTCTGCTTAAACTGTGTGTGAAGAAATAATAAAGCAATATCACCCTATAAAAGGCTTATTTATATGTGCTGTTTCCATAGCCCAGTCTGCAGCCTTTGCTCTTTTTCCCTCAGTTGTGACTACTGAACCTGAGAGCTAAAGATGTAACCTAAGTTTTATTTGTCATACTCATTAGGATAATTGCATTGCTGTGCATTTCTAACACAAAGAAAAACCTTTTCTAATATTGAAAAACATTCAGCAACTATCTTCTTAATAGTATCTTTCATCTTAGAGATTTTCCCCCATCTCCATCCAAAAATTAGTTCAAAAGAATGCTATTTATTTCCAACTAATTATTTTTCTCTAGTACTGGGAATAGTCTGAAGGGGGCAACAGACTCCTGCTGAAGTTTGTGTGTGACACAGACACTGGACTCTGCAGTCAGAGAGCACCTCTCTGAGTCACTAGTCTGTGCTGCTGATGATTTTTAATGTTTCCTTTTGGAAAACTTCAGAATGTATTTTTCAAAAAACCTTGAAAGAAAGCCCCAAAAGAGCCGCTGTCTGTGCTTAAGAAAACAAACTCTTCTAAACAACATTTGAATGGATCCTGTTTCCAGAATTCAATAAATTAATATACTTGACTGATTTAACTTCTCATGGAGAGATTCCTGCTGAGGGGATGGCTGGGTGTAATTTAATTAAACTTCCTGATCAAGGCACCACTAACTTAGAAGTTATATCAGGTTGATTAGAGCCTCATCAAGTCAGGTTTTTAAAGGTTTCAAAGATGGACATTCTACAGTTTTTCTGGGTAACTTCTTAACAGAGCTTAACCACTGCCAGAACTGATATTTAACTGAGCAGGCAAACAGGTTAGGCTTTTGGTTTGCTTAGTTTTTGTGGGGTTTGTTTGTTTATTTCTTAAGCTGAGGGACTGCTTCTTGCTACAGGAAACATATTGGGAAGGTGAGCTTAGCAATATGCCAGTTCTTCACAATTTCTTCAAAGGAAAATCTGGCAGAAGAAAATGATACAACCAGTTCTACCTTACTCAGAAGGTTTTTGGTTGCTCTGTCATAAGGAAGCTTCAGTAAGTCCTAGAACGAAGATGATGAAAGCCCAAATCTATTACAAGCAATTATAGATCTTTGCTGAAAATCAGTACAGAAAAGCATATTGAATAGTTTGTAACCTACGTAGTTAAAGTATTCTTGTTACCTTTGAAGTTCAATTGTTGGGTTCTCTGTAATTTAGTTTCTATCCAATCAAGCAACTATCACAGAACACAAATATACTTTTTGTTATGCAATTCCAACATACATAGAAATTATGCTTCTCAAGAGATAATCAAATTGACTTTCTTTGTACTGTTATTCAAAGTTAACCAACATTCTGCACATCTTTATAAATTACAATCCAGAACTAGTGCTTTCCCTTTAGGTTTTAAAATCTCTAGTGAGCCCCTTGCACACTTGGCCTTCTTGCCCTGTAATCACTGGTTCACTTTAGAAATCAAGTAAGAATAACCCACTTCCCTTCCCAATAGATTCCTTGTGGGCTGTAAGCGTACTTGGATGTTAATGCCTAGATGGTTTAAAGACTAAATAAATCAGCATAACTAGCTCCTGTCATGTTAAGAAAACCTTATGAATAAAAGCACAGCTAAATTACATCTTTTACATTTAGGCAGACTTTTATATATTTGTGCACATAGAAAAACTGCATTATGCATGAAAAGTAGGATTATATATTGAGCATGATTATATATCTGGTCTCAAAGCCTGGCTGGAGTGCCTTTTCATAGCTTGTCTTTGCTTCTGAAAAACTCTGCCAGTCTGCACACACCTGAGCTGTCTGCAGAGCCACAAACGTTTTCTCCCCATATTCACAAATGCACAAAACTCTCATGGAACAACTGCAGCAAAAAAAGGAGGGCTAGCAAAACTTCAAGAGAATTATCTCACATTAGGATTTCTAGCTTTACCCAACACTTCCTGAAGCCAGGTCTATCTAACTAAATATTTCATTTGGAAAGAATTTTAAACCATGCAGATTTTGTTTCTAAGGAAAATTAAAAACAAAACAAAACACCACCACCAAAAAAACATCAAAATTCAGTTGAACAAAAAAATCCCATGGAAAAACTGAAGTGCAGTTTCTGTCTTCCAAATAGACATAGAAAAAGCATATAAATGCTAAGCCAACACATTAGCACATTTAACAGAGATTAACAAAACCAGGTTACCAGAAAAAAACCTCCTCTTAGTAAATATACAATAAATAGCAGCTCAGCAGTCCTGACAACTGTTGCTGCACCTCCCTGTGCTCCATAAGGCTGTTAGAAGGAGCAGCTGGTCATTAATAACTGGCAGTCCTTGGGAGTTTCCTTGCAGGCCCGTTCTGTGTCCTGTGTCCCTGTGCCCTGACCCCTGGGCCAGCCCCAGGCAGAGGCTGCAGAGCTGGCCTGACCTTGCTCGCCTTTGTCATGAGAGGGCTGTCCCCTCGTGCCATCCCTGCAGTGCTCCCTGGGTTGGAGGAACCTGGGGCTGATCTAATGAGGCTTTATGTGCCTTTTTCTCCTCCAGGGTTAGAAAATCTCTCGATGGGAGTCATCCACAACAGATTTTACTCTTCAATAGGACTTAATTCCCCGAGTAATTTTTACTCCCTGCTGTACACATACACACACAAAAATTTTATTACCCTGGCGCAATTCACATCCTGTCATGTCATTGTGACCTCTTACCAGGAAATGTTTATCATATTTCCTTTTTTTTTTTTTTTTTTCTGTATACAGTAATTAAATACTCTTCTTTACATACATACTTGAACAATTTTTAACTGAGGTGACAAAAATCAGAAAATTAGTTTGGGACTACTACTGTCATTCATATTCTACCAAGTTCCTACTTTCCCTTTTCAATGGGGTTCCACATCATAAAACTTAAAACCTCCAGGTTTACATTTACTTTCAATTCACTTAGGTTTTAAATCTACAAGTCAAAACATGAGCTGCAGATCTTGTTACATCACACTCCTACATTGCATGTGCTGTATGTACTTCAGCTTAAATTTTAGAGCATAAATAATTCTTAAAATTAATGCAATGTGTGCAAATTAGTTGTTGGTAGTTAGAGTGTATTTTTTCTCTTTTTTTTTTAAAACGTCCTGCCCTTTTTGAGTATTAACTAATAATTACAGTGCATTACTTGAAGCTTTTTAACTTTCCTTTGTATCCATTTACAATCATATAATTTTTAACGATAAGGTTGGATTAAGTCACTTGTGGGAATGTATTAACCTTTTGTTCAGGAAGAGATGAGACATTGCTTGCACCTGCTCTACAGAAATGCACTGGGTTTTCTTATGCTAATCAGGCACATTTGAATCTTACATAAAAACTTCAGTGTGGGTGTTTAGATACAACTAAGATGCTTACATGAAATACTGCTCAAACAAGTAGTGGCAATGACTCACAATTTCTATGTTCTGAGGAAATGGGATCAATCCTCTCAAACCGTGTCTCCAGTGTACTTCCATGAGAGAGAATTGTCTATGGATGAATGCAATGAATAGAGAAAGGCACTGAGGTATGTGGGGACTGAAGTCACAAGACAAATAATTATATGCAGTCAGATACAGAAAGTTCTCCAGGAAATACTGAACTCTGGTGCTGACTGAACTTTGTTACTCTCAGAAAGGGTATTTTTGAACCTTTTCTCCTCTCATGCCCTTAGATCAACTGATGACTGTTCCTCTTCTGAGCCCACGTGTCTCATTTTGGTCACTAAAATGTCAGTAGAACACATTTACTATTTTCTATTTACTATTTTACTATTTTCTAGACCACGTTGAGAATACTGCACCCCGTTTTGGGCCCCTCCATACAAAACAGACACCAATGGTTCAGCTGCTCTGGGCCTGGAGCCCCCTAAGGAAAGGATGAGGGAAGGGCACTTGCTCAGCTTGGGGAGGGGATGGATTCAGGCACCTCCCAGGAACCTGCCAGTGCCTGCACAGATGTTCTGGAGCAGATGGACTCAGGCCCATGGTGCGTTGCAGAGGGCAAGAAGCTCAAACAAGAGATGCTGAGGCGGCCAAAGCCCTGACCAAGCCCAGCCTGAGCTCGTGGCTGACCCTGCAGAGTGCAGCAGTTCAGACCTGAACCCTCCTGTGGTCCCTTTCCACCTCAATTATCCTGGTTCCAAAATCCCTCTCTGGCAACTAAAGATCATCCAAACATAGTATGGAAGAATCCTCTAAAATATTCTAGCACAGGTGATCTATAACTGACAATGTTAAAATCTGCCATAGGTTAAATAAAATACTATACTGAATAATGGTGCATTAGGAAAACATGACATATTAGACTCTTTTAATAGGAACAGTGAAGAAGGAGGTTTTTTTAGAATTAGAGTTACATCTTCTTGAATTCAAAACAAGTGACTGCAAACACAGACCTCAAATCTGTTGGTGACTGGAGAGAATAGGAATTAATATCAGTGTTTAAACATCAAGTAAGATGGTCAACTAGAAAGTGCTTCCCTAATATCTGACTGCAGAAAAGCCTGTAAACACTGAAGAGAAACAAGTGAGAACACAGTCCTGTGTAAACTTAGGTAGAACCAGAATTTTTCATTTAATCCCAGATTTACCAGTGCATTGAAGACCAAAGTTCAGGGCTTAGGAAGCCTACTGATAAGTGCACTTAAAACCTGAAAGCTCTTATGGAGTATACATATGGAGAAAATCACGCTACAAGCTGTGTGAGGGAGTTTTTGTCCCACCCAGCTGCCTCTTGGGTGTTTCATAGTCTCTCCACTGCCTAGGAAGCTTTCTGTCCACAGCTTTCCAAATCCAAAGTATGTGAGATCCCATAACGATAGGGTATCTGCTAGAACAAGGAACTCAGACTTGAAAAATCACACTTTCAAATAATAACTGAGTCTTTTTCTTCACATACAAGTGCTTTAGGATTAAATTTTAGACAAATTTTCTGCCACACCATACAAGTTTTCAAAGATCCATAAAAAGAACAAATATTAGCTCAGAAAACATCTAGA